TTTAGGGTTATGAGGAATGAGCAACAGCTGGGTGCTCTGACTGGCTTCAGGGGAGTGGGATTGGGATGAGGTGGGCTGCCATTGGTTGGCAGGTTGTTGGGTGGGCTTTCTGGTGTGAGAGCTGGCCAGGGTGGCCATCAGCCAGAGCCTTCCAGGGGAGCCATGCGGCAGAGCTAGGTGCTGAGTGCAGAGCCTGGTGCCAGGTACAGAGTCAGGTACTTAGTGCAGAGATGGGTGTGTCCGGCCTCCCAGCGAGGCAATCGATTTTACATTCTGACCCTTTTGATGATATATGATGCCACTTCTTTCTGGCTACTTCCTGCTAAATAGGGGCAGAGTGAGGGAGAAGGGTCAGTTGGCTGGTGCCTTGGTTGGGAGTCAGACATAGGGGTGAAGTAGCATCTGGTTTACAGCCACGCTGGAAATTTCTCTCATGCTGGCCTGTAAAAACCTGAGGCTAGCATTAACAGAAGACAAACTACGATGATGGGAGTGATAATAGGGTTAGCCAGGTTAGCATGGGGGATTGCCACCAGTTAAGAGGCGAGACTGATGCATTCTGCTTCTTGCAGAGGTCCTCTCAGAGGTGATAGAGAGTGTTGACATTTTCTTCTACAAGGCCTGTTTTATCGATGTAGTAGCAGCACTGCTCCTGAAGAAACGGACAGCTATCTCCCATTTCTGCTGTCAGCAGGTCAAGGGCCCATCGGTTCTGGAGAGTTACCTGGCCAGTGATGTGATTTGTCTCTGGAGGGAGGCCAGGGGGGCAGCCAATGCTTCGATAGCCATGTTAAGCTTGTCCTCTAGTTGAGTGGCTGGGGTGACACTGTAGCCTAGGGTGCCACTACATAGCCTAGCTGCCACCAGAGAGGATGCTAGAGAGAGACCAATGACCATTGGGAGGAAGACTGCTCATCTGTCTTGGTGATTAGGGGAGGGTGGAAGGAGGGATAGAAGTTCAGCCTGTCTGTATACCTCAAACTGCGGGACCAAGGTGACAGGCACACAAGGAAAAGGGAAGGAGGCATTAATAACTTTAGTTAAGGTTCCATTACATCAGAAATATCCTCCTGGTGGCACATAGAGTGAGGATTTTACCTTTACTGTGATGTTACAGCTGGGACTGGAGCTGCTGGCTGTCTCATAGCAGAGAAAGAAATTTTGAGGGTACACTTGGAACAAGGGGATATCCGTTAAGATGGTGCTGGGTCCCATAGGTGATTGTGACAGATTGAACCCAGACCTAAGGGGAACTGCAGCTAAGGGGGGGTTGCTGAGAGAGGTACATTAAAAGCAGTTGGTGATATTCATGGCTTTAGTTAAATTTAACATGTTGGCTCCCTGCTGTACTAGAGTCAACCAAGAGAAAGGTTGAGAGGTGTTATCTGAGGGTTTGAATTAGTTAGTTAGGATGGCTTCATTTTGCAGGATTGTATGGCTTACAGAACAGAGCTGTTCTATTGTTTCAGAGACGATGTGGGTATAGGACCAGAATATTAGCCATGTTCCCTGAGGGTGGCTCCAGGTATAATCTTCATAGACCTTACTGGACACTCCTGCATCTCAACAGCTGTGCCAGGGGTCATGGATGTTGAGGGCTAAGGAACCATTGCCGAAGAGAGTGAGCATGCGGTTGGGACAGCTTGGAGGCTGTGGCTTGTGAATAACACAGGAGCTGTATGGGTACTCCCCGTAGATGGTGTTCCACCAATGACAGTAGTCCTTGGTTTGGTCACATAGAAAACACAGCCCATGCTGAAAGTGAAACCCATGATCACTACTGAGTATGATGCTTTTACCATATGGGATGAGGATGGAGACAGTAGACTGACATCTGCCTGTTTGGCAGTTTGCCTGTGCAAGATAATGGGTCCTGGTGGTGGGGCTCTTAGTCCAGGATTCCTGGGTTGCAGGGATCCTGGTTTGAGTTCTTGGAGGAGAACACTGTCGCCCGGTTGGAGAGGCACCACTGGGTGGGAATCCTCTGGTTCTGGAACAACAGAAAGGGAGTGGTCTGCATGTTCCCTTAACAGGTGGTGGAGGAGGGAGAGGAAGGGAAGGTAGGAAGCCAGTGGAGGGGGGTTTACAGGGAGGTTGTGAGAAACCAGGAAAGGCCAGCTATACAGCAATTCGAAGGGGCTAAGGCCCGTTGGCCCCCATGGGGTGGCCTGGACCTGGGCCAGGGCAAGAGGTAGGAGTGTGGGCCAAGAGAGTTTTACCTCAATAGCAAGTTTGGCCAAATGGTCTTTGAGGATGCTGTGGGCCCGTTCAACTTTACCCAACAACTGGGGAGGGTAAGGGATGTGTAGTTTTCAGGAGATGTTGAGGGACTTGGTGACTAGCTGGACTACTTGGGCCGTAAATGCTGGACCATTGTCTGACTGGATGGTGGCAGGTAGGCTGAAGCAAGGGATGATTTTCTTGAGTAAGAAGGGAGGCCACCATGTCTGCTGTCTCCTAGGAGGTGGGGAAGGCTTTAATCCAACCTGAAAAGGTGTCTACAAAAGTTAGGAGGTAGCAGAGCTTTTTGTGAGTGGGCATATGAGTGAAGTCAATTTGCCAGTCTTGGGCCGGTAGGTTGCCCTGCATTTGATGAGTAGGAAACTGTGGCCTTAAGCCTCCCTGAGGTGAGACCTTAGAGCAAGTAACTTATGCCTTGTGTACCTGCTCAATTGTTTGTTGCAGACCTGGCAAGAAAAAAAGGGGCTGTACAAAGTGGTGTAATGCCTTTGGCCCTACATGTAAGGATTGGTGGATTTCAGCAATAATTTTAGGGGCCTGTTCCCTGGGAAGGATGATTCTGTTATTTAGGAAGATCCAGCCCTGATTAGATTCTGTTCTTCCCTTTAGTATAAGGGCCTGTTTTTCTAATGGTGAGTATACAGGCTGTGTGACCGTGGTAAGGAAAAGAACAGGGGTAGAGGTCAACTTGGTGTTAGTTAAAGATCTTGCTGCTGTGTCTGCCCTCACATTGCCCCAGGAGATTGCATCATGCTGGGCTCGGTGTCCTTGGCAGTGTATGACTGAAACCTCCCTGGGCAATGATAAGGCCTGTTAAAGGTTGGAGATCTGTGTAGCACTGATTATGGAGGACACTTTTGTGGTAAAAAAATCCCCGCTGTCTCCAGAGGGCAGAGTGGCAATGGGTAATAAGAAAAGCATATTTTAAGTCAGTATAGATATTTGCTCACTTTCCCTGTGCTAGTGTGAGAACTCTGGTTAGGGCAATGAGCTCTGCCTTTTGTGATGTGGTTCTGTCAGGGAGGCAATGTGCCTTGAGGGTGGCTGAATTTGTGACTACTGCATAGGCTGCCTTTCCCCTCCCATCAGCTGCTATTACTGAACTTCCATCTACATAGAAAGTAAGGTCTGGGTTAGGCAGGGGAAGGTTGGATAGGCCCTCCCAAGGTTTGGCAAGTGCATCCATAAGTTCAGGGCATGATTGGGCTAGGGAAGGGGGAAGGGATGGATGAGGAAGCAGGGTAGCCAGGTTGAGTGGGAAATAGTGTGAAGGCTGACTGAAGGATTCTCAATAAAGAGCAGGTGGAACTCCTGTAGATGAGAGGGCCCTAGGTGAGCAAGGGATTTGTGGGAGAGGAGGTCAGTAAGCCAGTGAGGAGAGAACACTGAGATGGGCTGGCCCAGGGTAAGTTTTAGGGATTCCTTCGTAAGTTCTGTTGCTGTTCCCAGGGCCCACAGGCAAGGCTGCCATCCCATGACCATGGGGTCAAGTTGCTTTGATAAGTAGGTTACAGGGTGGAACAAGGGACCCAGGGGTTGGGTTGGGACCCAGGGGTTGGGTTAGAACCCTGACAGCAATGCCATATTTTTCATCCATGAACATAAAAGGGGCGAATGAGGTCTGGCAGATGAAGTGGGGGTGTGGTGGACAGAGCAGTTTGGAGGGTCTTAAAAGCCCATTTTACAACCTCAGGATGGGAGAGAGGTCCCATGGGGGTGTCCTTAGCCACCACATTCAGAGGTTTAGCTAGAGAGGCAAAGTTAGGTATCCAGTGGTACAAGAATCCTACAAATCCTAAAAAGGAGAGAATCTGGTCGGCAGTTTCTGGGGGCTGCAGTGAAAGAAGTGCCTTCTGGCGATCTGTTATTAGACATTTAGTTTTGGGGGTGAGGCAAATACCCAAGTAGACCACTGAGGTGACTGATAACTATGCTTTGGAGGTAGATACTCAATATCCCCGAGCTCTGAGAGTTAAGGAGAGTGGCAGTATGCTGTTGGGATAGGGAGAGGGACGTGCCCAGTGTCCCTTCTGATTGCACTTGAAACAGGGCCCAGGCGGAATGCCTCTGGAGTTCTTGGTGTGTTTTGATGGACCCCCTCCACCAGGTACCTGGTGGGCTTCTGGCCTCAGGGCTGCCACAGAGCTAGGGTTTGGAGGCTTACCTTTTGCTGTAGATGGGCTGGTGGGTGGCCTCAACCTTTTCCTCTTGGCCATTAAAAACTTTAAATGCCATGTTTACCAGGTCTTGTATGGGAGTTTGGGGGCCCTCCTCAGCCTTTTTAAGTTTCTTTCTAATGTCAGCCACTGACTGAGAGATGAAATGGGTGCTCGGACTGTAGCCCCCGGTAAAGAGGCTGGGTCCAGCCGGGTATGAAGGATCATAGCATTAGTTAATCGGTCAAGGAAGGCGGCTGGGTTTTCAGTAGGACCCTGAGTTATTTCCCTTAACTTATCATAGTTAACTACCTTTTGGATGCCCACTAGGAGGCACTGTAGCATTTGATCTTGGTGGCGGCAGCCATCTTGACCAGTTTGATAGTTCCAGTTAGGGTCAGCCTCGGGGACCACTGCTGCACCTACTGGCATTCGATTGTCTGTGAGATGTGCCTAATCATCGTGTGCCTGGGCTGCAGTAAGGATGTGGTCATGCTCATCTGGGGTGAGGGTGGAGGACAGAATCACATAGGTATCTTGCCAGGTGAGGTCATAAGCCTGGGTGAGGTAGTGGAATTCTTTTGTGTAAGCAGTAGGATTGGTGGAAAATGACCCTAGGCATTTCTCAATGGCTGATAGATCAGAGAGGGAGAAGGGAACAATGCCTTCTGCTCTGGCTACCTCACAAAGGAGGCAAAGGAGGGAGTTTCATCATTGGGAGCACAGCACCAGTGAGTGTGAGCACTGACAGGAGAGGCTATGTTGGGACCAGGAAGAGGAGGAGGAGGAGGAAGGGGTTGAGGTTCCACATATGGCAGATGGTTTGCGGGTCAGGCGGGTGGAAAGGAAAGTTCTTTGGGCAGGTCAGGGTCAGAAAAGGAGGAGGATGGGGGAGCCAAGGGTGGTGACGGAGTTTCTTTGGCCAGGAGCAGCTGAGTGGTGTTGCTAGAGGAACAGAGGGTGGGTGGGAGTAAAGATACCAGAAGGCCCGAATGTAGGGGACCTCCGAACATTTACCATTTCTTTGACAGAAAGTGTCTAAATGGGTTAGAATGCCAAGATTGAAAGTTCCCTCTGGTGGCCAGTTGGACTGGTTGTCCAGAGGATACTGGGGCCAGGCCATGGTGGAGAGGAAAAGCAGCCTTTCCTTTTTATGGAGGGGCCCAGTTTGGGTAAATTTTGGACTAGACATCCCAGTGGCAACATGGAGTCTAGGCAGGGCTCCTGATTACCCATAGTCCACTCTCTGTCGTGGAGTACTCAGGAGTGAGGAATGGTATCCCAGATCTCAACACCTGAGTACCAGAGATTATGGGGAAAGACAGGAGTATAGGGATGTCTCCACAATATTCCTGTCTTCCAGGACGGGCGAGCAGGGGCACCAGGATGTCTCCATGAGACCCACAGCTCGAGATGGAAAGGAGTCCCTGACACAGCCGTGATTACGGAGAGGGTACCTCAAGGTTTGGAGCAAACAGAGGATGGGGTTATGGGCAATAGAAGTCTTACCAAGTGATGGCTGTAGATGATCAGAGGGGCGGCGGCTCCCTGGTTTGGCTTATGATGGAGGAGTCAGTTTCCCCCAGGAGGGGTCTTGAACTCCTCCCGGGTTTTTGGTACCACTTGTAAGGGTTATTGCCAAATTTAAAATGAGGAAACTGAGGCCAGTATAAGAAAATTAAATGCCAATTTATTCAGCTCCCGGGTGAGGTTCTCTGTTCTGTGGAAAGGGGGCCAGAGAAGGCGTGCTGACTTCCTGGGGTGGGGGATTTTTATGGCTATGAGGAATGAGCAACAGCTGGGTGCTCTGATTGGCTGCAGGGGAGCAGGATTGGGTTGAGGCGGGCTGCTATTGGTTGTTGGGTTGTTGGGCGGGTTTTCTGGTGCGAGAGCCGGCCAGGGTGGCCATTAGCCAGAGCCTTCTAGGGGAGCCGTGCGGCAGAGCTAGGTGCTGAGTGCAGAGCCTGGTGCCAGGTACAGATTCAGGTGCTGAGTGCAGAGGTGGGTGTGTCCAGCCTCCCAGTGAGGCAACCGACCTTACAACAAGCACACTCAGTAATTGTAATCTTGATGAATTATGAAACACCACTATTGTAACATTTACATATATCCTCCACATTTCTGATTGCTTATGAAAAATACATATACACAAAATGATAAAAAAAATAGCAGTCTAGAGCTTGTTACCACTAATTTGGACAAAGCAGGACTTAGTGAGACTTAGGAAATCATTCTGCTTTTAAAAGAGTATTGTGTGCAAGTATTTTCTTTATTAATAATTGTGAGTCTTCCATTGTTTGTTGTAGTGAAGGAGACTTTTCTTTTTTCATTTTTGCTGTCTCTTCCAGAGCAGGGCTAACTTTTAGGCAGTGTGCCAGAGTCAGCCTAAGTATACTTTTGAGTGCTCTCTTTCCCCTGCTCTTCCTTGCTGTAATTCTCCAGGTGGCATTGTTAGTGTATAACTCTCAAGCATCCCAAGCTGTCATGCCCACAGCCTTATTTTAAAGAACAATCGTGTACATTTTCTTATCCAAGGTCACCTTCATTTGTTTGATTAACCTTGATGTGCTGGCCACAGCTGGTTTCTCCAAGGTTTACATCTGATCCTAAGCCATCTGGACTCACCATGGTCAATGAGGGAAGCAGATTCACGGGCTTGATAAAAGGAGTCATGTAAGGATTACTAAATTGCATTTTCTTTTAAAAGTCTGAAGGGTATACACTCAGACACACACACACACACACTTTCAATGGGCTGGGTAATGGGAAATTCCAGAAGGAAAGAAATAAGATTGCCTCATGTGATAGCAAGAAGGGGACTAGAGAGAGGATATTAACCATGACAGGGGAAGTAGACACAGTATAGGGGAAACAGACATGAGATAAGCTGCCACAGGAGTGCCATAGTGGAAGTACTAAGCAGAGAATGAGAATGGATCTGGATAAAACATCAAAACTTCTGTTATTTAAAAAAAATTTCCAGTTCTCCAAGAGTCTAGCTGTGCACCTTTTGGAAATGCTGTCTCATCTCCTTCCTCTTTCCTTATAATAAATCCCTACCCAGTCAGGTAAATTTGTATATCTTTCTCATTGTAATTGGAAAGAGCCTAACATATTTTTAATGTCCCTGTTTGGATCTGATTAAGCTTGTTACAGAATATATTTCTAGTTTCTTCTGTTGGACTGTGCTCTTGCTCCATCAGCAACCAGTTTCATACTCCTGAGATTCAAGTTAATGATCCTGTCTCCTGAAAATCTGTGGTCTTCCTAAAGGACTGTGCTAGGAGAAGAGCAAGCAACAATTAGACACCAATTTTTTTTTTTTTTTTTTTTTTTTTGAGACAGTCTCTCTCTGTTGCCTGGTGCCAGGCTGAAGTGCAGTGGCATAATCTTGGCTCACTGCGACCTCCGCCTCCTGGGTTCAAGCAATTCTCCTGCCTCAGCCTCCGAGTAGCTGGGACTACAGGCACACACCACCACGCCCAGCTAATTTTTGTATTTTTAGTAGTGATGGGGTTTCAACATGTTGGCCAGGATGGTCTTGATCTCTTGACCTCTTGATTCGCCCGCCTCGGCCTCCCAAAGTGCTGGGATTACAGGCGTGAGCCACCGCTCCTGGCCCGACACCAAATTGTTTTAAGGCTTGGTAGTTACTTGTTTATTGTGTCACTGGTCTTACATTCTGCCTACTCTCACTTACACAATTTTTACTTTTTTCTTTGTGGATCATCCTCATCAGCTTTTAACATATTATTTCTCACATCTGTAAAAAATTCTTTTCTTGATTTCATTTTCCCCATTACTGCCACACCATTTCTTCGCTTTTCTTGGCAAATTGAAAGCATTGCCTATTTTTATTATTTCCAGCTCTCCTTCCGTTCTCCCTTAATCTCACTACAATCTAGGTTTTCTGGTTTCCATCGCTCCACCGAAACTGCTGTCAATAAAGGCATCAGTAACTTCTACATTGCTAAATCCAGTGGTTAATTTTCAGTCTTTATTTTATTTGACTTAGCAGCATCACTTGACACAGTTAATTCACCTGGCTTTTGCAAACACTTGATTTCCCTTCTTCATTTTCTGTTTACTCAATCTTCTGCTTTTCCCCCTTCTTTGCAATCTTATAATCATGGGAAAGTTCTGTTTTTACTTCTCTTTTCTGCCAAGGAGAGAATAGAGTTGTTGTGTTGTAAAAATGCCACATCAAAAATTCAGTTCCCATTAGATTATTCTTTTAATCCAAACAATGCAGAAGAATGAAAAGTGAGCTCCTCACCCTGGGCCCTGGTCTCACTCTCTGTATTCTTATAGTGTGGATGTTCTATCAGAAATTTACCATAAATTGATGCATACATAAAGGGTTTTTAAAATAAAATCTTTAATATATGCATAATAGGACTATACAGTATTTCATTCCTTTGTGTGAGTGTATCATAGTTTATGTCATCAGAGGATTTTTAGATTGTTTCTATTTTTATTAGGAATGATGTTGTTATGCTTGGCCTTATAAAGACAGTTTATATATATCTAAACATATCCGCAGGACACATTTTTATAGCCAAAATTGCTAGTTTAAGGAACACATATACATCTGATCTTCATCATTTGCAGATTCTGTATTTGTGAATTCACCTGCTTGCTAAACTTTATTTATAACCATACAATCAGTACTTGCTGTGCTCTCATTTGTTGATGTGCACAGAGCAGCAATGTTTTTTAAGTTGCCAGACGTGCTTGTTTGCAGCTGGGCTTTCTCTACCTTCTTGTTTTAGCTCTCATACTGGAAATGAGTCCTTTTCAGGGTCTATTTAGTGCCACATTTTTCTTATTTTTGTGTTTTGGAGGTAATTTTACTGTTTAAAATGGCCCCAAGCATAGTGGTAGAGTGTTGCCTAGTGTTCCTAATCATTGGAAGACTCTGATATGCCTTGTGAAGAAAATATATTTGTTAGATAAACTTAGTTCAGGCATGAGTTACACTCCTGTTGGCCATGAATTCAGTGTTACTGAGTCAACAAAGTAAAACTTAATGTTGATCAAGTTTTTTTGACCATTAAAAGCTCTTTATAACACTATATTAAAAGTTTTGAGATATAGCTAGAGATTAAGGCAGACAGGAGGCAGAACTAGATTGCACCCACTTGAACGGACAGAACAGTGTGTGGAGGCTCACATCATAAACTTCTGCTCCAGACTCACTGCAGGAATACATTAGGAAAGACAAGAGAACCCACAGATCCTCTGAAGGAAGCAGACTGCTCCTGCAGGACCTAGGAGACACACCAAATACTGTGAGTGCCCAAACTGTGGAAGTGGGAAATGGAGATCATCTGCCCCCAAACACCCCCCCACACTGGAGAACCTTGAAGATCTAGATTACAGGAGAATATTCTGACCTCACCTGCAGGTGAGTTAAGTTAGAGAGCTGAGCAAAATACAGGGGTAGAGGGAGAAGCAGGAAAATCCCTGTGGGTTTGCTGGGTCCCCTAGCAAGCCATTTCTGCCTCATCTCAGAGGGGTTCTTAAGGAGGGCTGCCACAGGCACTGGAAAAAGGCCACAGGGAGAAGGAAACCTCCAGCTGAACTTTGTTAACAATTGAAACAATCCGGAGAGGGTGTGAATTTGGTGTGCAGACTCCACAGGCAGGGGAAGAAGGAAAGTCTTGCTTACTTTCACAGCTGGGAGGTGAGTAGCCTGGGGCAAGTTCCTGCTTTCCCATTACCTGAAAACAGACTTGGTGCTGTTGTGGGGGGTGAGCACTTCAAAGCTTAAAGACAAGGTTATCAGATTAACCCAACCCAATGAAGACAAAGAAAAAAGATCAAGGTTGGGGCACATAGGTGATTTTTGGTTATATGGATAAGTTCTTTAGTGGTGATTTCTGAGAATTTGGTGTACCCATCACCCAAGCAGTGTACACTGTAGCCAACATATAGTTTTTTATGCCTTGCTACCTCCCACCCTTCTTCCTGAGTCCCTAAAGTCCATTATATCATTCTTAATGCCTTTGCATTCTCATAGCTTAGCTTCCACTTAAAAATGAGAACATATGATACTTGGTTTTTCATTCCTGAGTTATTTCAGTTAGAAAATGGCCTCCAGCTCTATCCAAGTTGCTGCAAAGGTAATTATTTCATTCAGCTTTATGGCTGAGTAGTATTCCAAGGTGTATATGTACCACATTTTTTTTTATCCCCTTGGTTGCCCAGCATTTAGGTTGGTTCCATATTTTTGCAATTGTGAATTATGCTGCTATAAATATGTATGTGCAATGTCTCTTTCATGTAATGACTTTTCCTCTGGGTAGATAATAGTGGGATTGCTGAATTGAATGGTAGCTCTACTTTTAGTTCTTTATCTCATACTTTCCATAGTGGTTGTAGTAGTTTACATTCCCACTAGCAGTGTAAAAGTGTTTCCTTTTCACCACATCTACACCAGGATCTATTATTTTTTGATTTTTAAATTATGGCCATTCTTGCAGGAGTAAGGTGATACTGCATTGTGGTTTTAATTTGCATTTCCCTTATAATTGGTGATGTTGAGCATTTTTCCCCATATGATGTTGGTTGTTTGTGTATTTTCTTCTGAGAATTGTTTATTCATGTCCTTTGCCCACATGTTGATGAGATTATTTGTTTATTTCTCCCTGATTTGCTTGAGTTCTGTGTAGATTTTGGATATTAGTCCTTTGTTAGATGCATAGTTTATGAATATTTTCTCCCACTCTGTGGGTTGTCTGTTTACTCTGCTGATTATTTCTTTTGCTGTGCAGAAGCTTTTTAGTTTAATTAGGTTCCATTTATTTATTTTCATTTTTGTTGCATTTGCTTTGATCAAGGGCTCTTTAGTCAGCAGGTAATGAATCCTGAGAAAACTAGGCCCTTCCCTTCAAGGCAGTGGGTTCCCTTCTAGCACAGGATGTGTCTAGAAATATCTGGGAGCTAGGGCCTAGAATGGGGTTCTTGGGACTCTGCCTGGTGCCCTATCCTACTGAGGCTGCACAGGTACCCAAGTTGCAAGACAAAGTCTTCTTTACTCTTCCTTCTCCTGTTCTCAAGTGCAAGGAAGAATCCCTTCCTGGAACTGTGAGCTGTACTGGCTTGGGGTTGGGGGGGGTGGTACAATCACTTCCTTGGCTAGCCTGGCTGGTGGCTCGCTAGGTTACATGCCCCTAAGTCTAACTGCTGCAAGCCCAGCAAAACATTAGCACTTGCCCAGGAATGAAACTCAGATTTCAGCCTCTGGGATGGGTAATTCACCTCTGATGTGGGCTCAAATAAATGCTCCCTCTGTGAGTGCCAACTGAATTCTGCACAATGTTGCTTTCCATAGTGACAGGACAGTGCTGCTCCAATGCAAAGTCCCACAATCACTACATTCTCTCTCCCCTAAGCACACAGATTCTCTCTTGTACAAGGAGGCAACTCCTGAGGGATGGGAAAGGGGTGGCACCGGTGATTCAAGACTATCTTTCCTATCCTCATCAGTGACTCTTTCAGTAATATGAAGTTAGAACCAGATACTGTGATTGCTTACCTGAATTTTGGTTCTCATGTGGATGCTTTTTTTGTGTGTGTGGATAGTTGTTCAATTTGGTGTTCCTGTGGAGAGGACAATTGGTGGGAGGTTCTGTTCAGTCATCTTCCTCCCCTACAAAAAATTAAATAAAAAATAAAGTCTTTCATATTTTCTATGGGTCCTTTTAAATTTCATCATTTAATATTTAAATATTTGATTCATCCAGAATTTATTGAGAGTAGGTCTAGCTTTCCTTTTTTTTTTAACAGCTAGCTGCTTGAAACAACCATTTAAAAAACAAATCTAATTTAATTAGCTTGTTTTAACCATTCTACAATGTATACATATATCAAAACATCATGTATATCATAAATACATACTTTTGTCAATTAAAACCATTAAAAAGAAAAAAAAAAAGAAAATAACTGTCCATTTCCTCCATTAGTTTGAAATACCATCTCGATGTTACATACTAAATTTCCATATATACTCACATCTTTTATTTTGGTATAGCACATTCCCAATTTTGTAAAGCAAATTTATTTTCTTTGTCATAGAAAAGACAGAGGAAAAATACATCATCATGTTTATATCAAATAAATGAAGCAAAGCCCTGATAGCCTAATTGTGTTGGCCTATGTTGTTTTCTTAGTGTTTTAACCTATCATTTCTAAGGCAAATTCTGAAACCAATAGAAAATTAATATCAAATGATGCTTTAGTGCTTAGGACTCTTGGTTGAAAGTAAAACAGAAATATCTTAAATTTAATGGTATAAATTTAGTAAATTCTCTGCATACTGTTGCTTCTGATAAGTCAGTATTTAGTGAAATAGTTCAGCATGATGAAACCAGTGTCACATTCCAGTTAGTTGTAATACACTTACTTTCCTTAGGCAAATCTAACATTATTTGAAAATGTTAGTTTATTACTGAAAAATCTGTGCTAGCCTACAAGACAGATAATACCCTACTAAATATAACAGACCCCACACATTCCTATAATTCCACAAATTAATGGTTTTTGGCATAGAGAACCCCTACCATGGTCAAGAAATCCAAATTAATTATTTTTGCATATGTTTTTAAAACTGAGTCCTTGAGGAGGCAACAGAAACTAGTGATGTTGAGCACTAATAGTACTAATTCCACTGACAACCCTACAATTTTAAAAATAATTGGGTACTTCTTCAGTTTTCTGTGTGGCACTGAAGGTTCACAGCTCCCTAAATATTTACATAACACCATTCTTGGGGAGATCTTTAAGAGTTAACCTTCCTACTCCCCAAACACCAGAACTAAGCCACAAAGGAAGCAGTAACAGAAGTACGATCCTATAGTTTTACAGCGTGGCTTTGGAATTGAGGTTAGGGAATACTCTAATTCAGTTTTTTGCTGAGCAGTGATAGTTGTTGAGGTAACTCAAAATTCCTATCCACTTAATGAACTCTGTTTTTACCAGCAAATACAACAAGACCAAAAGCAGAACATCATCCCAGTCATTTCCCTGTAAACTCCTTGGCTAGGAGATGAGATAATTAACTAAATCTCTTTTCATACAAAAAACAGCTTCTATTTTGGAGAGGTGAATTTGTTCAGCAGATCATATTTGCTTTTTGTACTGGGTTTGATGGAGACAAACTCCAATTATCCATCAATATTTCTCAGTTGGAGATCTGATGATTCCTTATGATTTTGTCAAAGGAAGTATCTTCAGTTACCTTATTGTCATAAATATTAAGAGGAATGTACATGTTGACTTTTTGCCCATCTAATTCATTGGGTGCCCTGTTTGGTCAACTGATAACATGTCAGGAGGCTATCCTTTAAACTCTTTAAATGTTGAAGGGAGAAATGTCATGTCTTATTTAAATCTTTCCAAATACCTTCCCTTTAACTATATCTTCCATGGTTGTTGGTAAAGAATAATTGGATGGGGTTGAAAGTTGTATACACTCTTCCAAAGATAGGCTATATACAGTGTTTCAGTTACCTACTGCTATGTAACAAACCAGCAAAATAGGTGGTGAATCAAAACAGTTAATCACAATTTCACAGTTCTGTACATTGATTGTGCTTATCTGGGCAATTTTTACTTCCTTTCATGCAGTTGCAGGCAGATAGAGAGTGGCACTGGAATCATCTGAAGTTCAACTGGGCTGGACCTTCAAGATGGCTTCTTCCCTTGCATGCCTGGACCCTCATTGTGGATGGCTGGAACAGCTGGCCACTGGCTGGGTGAACTACTGACTGGGGAAATTTATAAAATAGGAGACACAGTTAAATACATCTTTAGGAAATTTCTTCTTACTGTCTGTGATTGCAACCCCTCTACAAGTTTTATGTACTTAAAAGCCAACTACTTTATAAGGTCTGAGACACCTTTTAAGCAGATTGGAAGATAGGCACTCTGTAATGATGTGCAATGTCTTTGCTTGTTGCTTAGAAAGGTATGCACAAATTTTTACTAACACTGAAAACTCAAGCCTTTGGCACAGTGTTCTTCAGTGTTTAGAAATTTGTATTTGTTTCATTAAAAATTAAGAAAATTTTCTTATGAGCTCCAGATGAACTTACCCCTTAAAACATTTCTAAAAATGAGAAGCATGTCTTAAGTTTTCCTTTGATATACTGTTGGAAATTAGATTGTAGCTATGTAGAACTTAATTTTTTCATATTCAGTTGTTTTTCTTAATTGTCTCATTTTTTGCTTGCAAGGAATCATATGTATACAGATTACATGTTTTCTCTAGATCTTGAAATCTAGGTTATTTGTACTCTTTTAAACCCATTTAATTTTTTTTTTGATGCATTAGTGAAGAGTATCCTGTGGTTTCTCACTGTAATTTTTCTTCAGGACACAAGTTAACAGATGCCTGGAGTAATTTAAAAAATAGATATAAATATGCTACATTATAATTCGGTAAAAGTTTAGTATCCAATCTCTGCCTGACTGCTGGAGTTGAGACATAAATCTTCTCCTGCTTCAGTGCTCCATCAGACTCAGACTGAAATGTACAATATTAGCTCTCTTGTTCTCAGGCCTTTGAACTACACTGCTGGCTTTCCTGGGTCTCCAACTTGAAATGGGACTTCATGGGACTTCTCAGATTCCATAATTAATTTAGCAACACTGAATCTAAACCAGATAAGGCAATTTCAGCACTTAAGTCAGACCCCAAGATTAGCTTGCCAGTATCTAAACTGAGATGCACTTCTGAAATTGTCTTTGTTAGAAAGTTGAGGTGCCTGTGGAAGCTCAAGCTGACAGGAGATATCTAGCAAGTGTGCTACTATTTGAACCTTAAGCCTTTAGGAGAATTGTGTTGGAGGTTTACATTTGAATGAATGTAGCTTTTAGGGAGCAGAGTTGAAACGCTGTTGGATGAAAACACACAAGGAAAACTGAGGAGGGCAACAGAAAGCCAGCATTTTAGATATATTTGGAAGTTGAGAAGCCTTCAACATTCACTGAGGAGGACTTTTCAGAAATGAAAAATTGGGAGAGTAGGGTGTTTTGTGAGCCAGGAGAACGGAATAATGGTTTTTACACTGTGCTCCCCAAAGTCCCACTAGGGGTGACCACATTTTATAATGCAGAGAGGAATAGATAGATGTGACTCTACACCTCGCACTAAAATCAGAGTTGTGAATACACTAAAAAAATCACTCCAGTGACTTTCATCTTTGATTGCAGGTGTAAAAGATGAAGAAAATTTTATTCATTAGACCTTATCTTAAGGAGAAAACTGCTTGATTTCAGGAAGAGAGAAAAATCTCAAAAGCATGCTCCAACAAAATAAGATGCTTACTGAAATACTAAGCAGGAGAAAAAGAGAGAAATTGTTTTGTTTCTGAAAAGAAGAAAGGAAGAATGCATAAAGAATTAAGGGAGAAAAATGGGTAGTAAAAGAGAAGGCAGATCTTATGATGTAGTTTTATGACTCAGTTATCATCAATAATGTTTCTATACATAGAAATCTTTTTCTTTAAATAAATGATAAAGGTTCTGAATTTTGTTTTGTGCTAATATAGAGGAAAATAGAGAGATTTGTGCTAATATAGAGCACAAATTTTATGTTGTGCATAGCACAGATATTTGGAGAAAGTCCCATGATGATGTAAAATTTGGGAATTTGAAGAGATCATGAAGAGGCTTTGAATTTTCACAGGCCAAGTGTATTTGAAATAGGACTTCTCTCTCTCTCTCTCTCTCTCTCTCTCTCTCTCTCTCTCTCTCTCTCTCCCTTTATTATACTTTAAATTCTGGGGTGCATGTGCAGATCTTGCAGGATTGTTACATGGGTATATACATGCTATGGTGGTTTGCTGCCTCCATCCCCTCGTCACCTACATTAGGTATTTCTCTTAATATTATCCCTCCCCAATCTCCCCACACCCCACTATCCCTCTCCTAGCTCTCCACCTCCCAACAGACTCCAGTGTGTGATGTTCCCCTCCCTGTGTCCATGTGTTCTCATTGTTCAATACCCACCTATGAGTGAGAACATGTAGTGTTTGATTTTCTGTTTTTGTGTCAGTTTGCTGAGAATGATGGTCTCCAGGTTCATCCATGTCCCTACAAAGGATGCAAACTCATTGTTTTTGATGGCTCCATGGTGTATATGTGCCACATTTTCCCTGTTCAGTCTATCATTGATGGGCATTTGGGTTGGTTCCAGGTCTTTGCTATTGTAAACTGTGCTGCAATGAACATTTCTGTGCATATGTCCTTATAGTAGAATGATTTACAATCCTTTGGATATATACCCAAAAATGGGATTGCTGGGTCAAATGGAATTTCTATTTCTAGGTCCTTGAGGAATTGCCACACTGTCTTCCACAATGGTTGAACTAATTTACACTCCCACCAGCAGTGTAAAAGTGTTTCTATTTCTCCACATCCTCTCCAGCATCTGTTGTCTCCAGATTTTTTAATGATCGCTATTATAACTGACGTGAGATGGTATCTCAATGTGGTTTTGATTTGCATTTCTCTAATGACCAGTGATGATGAGCATTTTTTCATATGTTTGTTGGCCTCATGTATGTCTTTTTTTGTAAATAGTCTGTTCATATCCTTTGCCCACTTTTGAATGAGCTTGTTTGTTTTGTGCTTGTCAATCTGTTTTAGTTCTTTGTAAATTCTGGATATCAGACACAATAATGTCTCACCAAAAATGTCAGATGGGTAAACTGCAAAAATTTTATCCCATTCTGTTGGTTGCTGATTCACTGTAATGACTGTTTCTTTTGCCATGCAGAAGCTGTGGAGTTTGATTAGGTCCCATTTGTCTATTTTGGCTTTGTTGCCAATGCTGTTGGTGTTTTGGTCATGAAGTCCTTGCCTACTCCTATGTCCTGAATGGTTTTGCCTAGAGTTTCTTCTAGGGTTTTTATGGTGTTAGGTATTATGTTTAAGTCTTTAATCCATCTGGAGTTAATTTTAGTGTAAGGTGTCAGGAAGGAGTCCAGTTTCTGCTTTCTGCACATAGCTAGCCAGTTTTCCCAACACCATTTATTAAACAGGGGATCCTTTCCCCATTGCTTGTTTTTGTTCGGTTTGTCAAAGATCGGATGGTTGTAGATATGTTGTGTTGCCTCTGAGGCCTCTGTTCTCTTCCATTGGTCTATACCTATGTTTTGGTACCAGTACCATGCTCTTTTGATTACTATAGCCTTGTAGTATAGTTTGAAATCCGGTAGTGTGATGCCTCCTGCTGTGTTCTTTTTGCTTAGAATTGACTTGGTTATGCATGTGCCACATTTTCTTTATCCAGTCTATCATTGGTGGGTTCTAGGCCTTTGCTAGTGTAACAATGCCACAATGAACATACATGTGCATGTGTCTTTATAATAGAATGATTTATAACCCTTTGGGTATATACCCAGTAATGGAATTACTGGGTCAAATGGTAATTCTATTTCTAGATCCTTGAGGAATTGCCACACTGTCTTCCACAATGGTTGAACTAATTTACACTCCCACCAACAGTGTGAAAGCATTCCTTGAAATAGGACTTTTTAGAGTAGCTCTGGCCAGTAGAAATCTAATGTGAGCCACAAAACACAAGCCATATATGAAATTTTAAATGTTGTAGTTGTCAGATATAGTTGTCTACATGCCCCAACATTATAATCTTCACAGTCGAATGATTTTTTTTTCTAATGTGCTTCACCTTAGTAAATGACCACCACTATTTTTAAAATTAAGTAAATTATATACCTACGAGAATGTAGTGTCTCCCTCACTTGTCCTATACCAACTTCATAAATGAATGAATTCTCACAAATACTTTTTAAATTTACCCCTGTGATAGACACAATAATGTCTCACCAAGAATGTCCATTCTAGTCCCTCAAGCCAGAGAATATTTTTCTTTACATGGCAAGAAAAGACTTTGCAGGTGTGATTAAATTGAAGCTTTTGAGTAAGGAGGTTATTCTAGATTATCTGGATGAGCCAAACCCAATGTAATCACAAGGGTCTTTGTAAGAGGGAAGTGGGAGTATCACAGACAGAGAAGCTGGTGTGACAACAGAGGAAGAAAGTGATGTGACAACAGAGGAAGAAGGCAGAGGGACTTAAGGAATAGGCCTTGAGCCAAGAAATGCAGCAAAACTGGAAAAAACATGGAAATAGATTCACTCCCCTAAAGTAACAAGAACAAACACAGCTCTGCTGACACCTGGGTTTTAGTCTCATAGATCCATTTCAGAGTTCTAACCTCCTGAACTAGGACACCTAGGTGTGATAAGGTGGGGAAGAGGTAGAGATTGTTCTTTTGCATGCCTGATGTTTGCTTCCAGATAAGAGCTATATTAAGGAAATACTCCTGGCCTCTTTCTTGAACAGCAGTGTCTTAATCTTACTGGCACACCTGGATGACACCAAATTATTCTTTTAAGGAAATCAACATATCACTAAAAATGCATAGAAAAACATCTGGTAATAATATTTCAGGGCTGTGGAGCTATGGTATAAGTGCATATGTGTGAGTGTGCACATACCTGACTTTTATGTTTGGAACTGAAGCCAGCCATCTTCCCTAGGGCAAATTTTTAATCTGCTAAAGAAATACAAGAACAGGATTCACTTTCAGCTAGCCATTTATACTGGTTTAGTTTCTTCATTTGGTCAAAGGAATATAATCTAATACTTTAAAAATAGGGTCAAAACAGCATTATGAGGAAAATATTTATAATTGTGTAAGAAGAATCATTCTTTTTTAAATTCAAATTGTGTTTTAGCTTTAGAAGTCTTTACTAGATCTTTCAAAAATCACAATTAAATATTTGAGACTCTATGTAACCCCCCAAATTAAAAATAGTATATTAGTTACTTTAAACAGTATTCATCACTTTTACTTTTTATAATAAACTTATGTAAACATTCGAATATGCACACTGATACATGTATAGGACATGTAGTGTATGTGTATCATTATAAAAATATGAGGCAAAATTTTACTTAGTATAAAAACATGTATATATAAGTGTGCAGGAGTGTTTTTGAATTAAAATCTGCCTTTCATAATACCATTTTGAATAAAAATTATGGATATTGATTCCCTGATTAAAGGAAATCTGTCTTCTCAAAAAAAAAGTTTCGTGTCATGGCTGGTTTTGAATCACTGGCAGAAGTGTTTTGTTTTTTTTGTAAGAATTAAGCTGCATAGTTTACGTTTAGGCTGATCATGCCACCTTTGCTGCCATCTCATTTGATATGATATGCAGCATATCTAATTCCAGCACCTGGAAGTTTAAAGTGCTTTCTTTCTGAAGAAAAATAATGCTCCATCTACATCTATAGGCTTTGTCAGATGGGGAAGCACATGTGATAAGAAATATTATGAAAGAAAGATTGAAAAATTCCTAAATTAGGTCCTAATGATCACTCTCCCTTTCCAGTTCATCTGTGATATTTTTCCCAGATTTGAACATGGTTAAAAATTAAAAAAACAAAAAAACCCAACTAAACACCTATGTTGTTCCAAAGACTTGCTATCTATTCTATTCTGTGGCCAGTATTTCCTTGGTCACCACATCAGTGCAAGCATGATTTAACTAACGGTTAGTTAAAATAGTAATATTTATAGACTTTACATTTTGAGGATAAGACATTGATAGAACACCAATGATTTTGAACATAGGCTCTGGAGAGAGCTAGATGCTAATTTTGACTCCTTAACCATTTGACCTTGAACTAGTTAGTCTCTAGACCCCAAGTTCCTCATCTACAGAATGTGAATAGTGAGTGTTTTTGTGCAAATAAAATGAGATATATATGTATACTAGCTTTTTCATTTGTTCCTTCAGATCAACTGTCCACTGTCTCCTCATTGGTCTCCCTCTCTGGAGGCTGACCTGCATAGACCACTGGAGGCTCCCTTGTCCTTTGCTTTTTTTGGTTTAGTCAGTAGGATGCCCAGACAGAAGATCAGAGGGAGGGCTGACAGTGAGACTGGGGATTTATTCTGAAAGCTTTCCCTGCAGCATTGCCTTAGGCTGTTGCTATTCCTCCCCAGAAGCTTTCTAGGAGACTCTCTCCTGTGTTCTGGAAAACTACTTCCTACCCTCTTCCCTTTAGGCTTAAGGATAGGTAACAGCCCTGTTATTACTAGCTCCAGGGCACAGCATCATCCCTACAACCTGCCACATCTTTGCAAATAATTCCTTTATTAAACTCCCTAAGAAAATCCCAATTTAACCATGTCTCCTTTTTTTTTTTCTGGGATATTGATTGGTACAGTATGTGTTTACCATAGTGCCTTGCACATAATAAATGTCAAACTCAGTGATATTTATCATTAAGAAGACTGAAAGCATGTAATCAATCTTACAATATGTATACATCTGGTATGCTGAACAAGTGTGGGGTTTGGATTGTGACAAAAACACAGCTTAAATAAAAATAATTTTACCACTGTGTGTTTAAACTTCATTTGGCGATTATAACTTCCTATCTCTGGAGGAAAACTCTAGAAGTCCCATGATTTCTCTACTCATTCTTTTCTTTTCTTTTTTTTTTTTGATAGGCACTGAGACTTTATTACATGGCATGGCATTCATGACGATGGGAGGAGCAGGCAGAAATGCAGGCCGGAACATTCCACAGACCAGGGACAGTTTCCAGAAAGTATGTGTTTCCAGACCATTCAGTAGAAAGACCGTCTGGTGTTGTTCCGGGGGAGAGGGGGGTTGGACTGGAAGCGGTAGGCTAGCATCATCCTCTGGTGAAAGCCTCGTACTAGGCCTCTTCCTTGGAGAGCGTAGCTGGCCGGTCACAGTGCCAAAGCCGGCACCATCCGCTGTGGTGGTGCACTTGTTGACCGGGTTCTTGATACCCTGGCCCTCCGAGCCCAGCCCCTCGCCCTCCTTCCAGCCCATCTTCATCAGCATCTGGTAGCCGAAGTTCTCGGTCAGCTTGCACTCTTTGAACTTGGAGTATTCAGGCTCGCGGCCCTCCTTCAGGGCCTTGAAGGTCTCCATAAACTTCTTCAGCTTGCCTGGAGGCAGGAAGTCTCTGATGAAGTGCTTGGCCCGGCCCATCTTCGTCAGCTGCTCGGCGAATTCCCTCGTCGTGTCCATCTCCATGCGCCGCAGCTGGTGCTTCCGGGTGCCCAGCTCGCAGTCCACCTCCTTGTCGCTGTGGCAGCGGTGCTGGTGCTGTGCACCGTCTTCTCCCACAGCA